AACCAGCACAGAGGAATCTCTCTCTGTTTCTCACACTCTCAAGAACAAAACAAATATCTTTGCTCACATTGTTCCAGCAAAAATCTTGAATTTGAATTTTGTCGGTTCAACTTGGCCACGCGCCTCTTAAAAGAGCTCTCTCTGTAGCCAGAAGAGCTTCTTGTTGATTGGCTGGGTCTTGATCTGATAACAGCTCTACATCAGCCCTCAAGGGTAGGGAAGGTGGTTCTGTCTCGCAAACCTGGGGCCTTGTTATAAGAAAAAGGAGGATGGAGGTGGAGGCTGACCAGACAAAATCCTAGCCACCTATACAGATGGGAGTACGACTTCCTCTAAGCAGCCTTTGAAACAACTTGTGATCACAGAGAGAACATTTTAGGGGATAACGTGGGCCCCCAAGTGGATCTCTTAGTTTTTTTAGCTGTCTTTGATGTTTGTTTGTTCCAGTGATGCCCCTTCTCTTCCCTGTTACAGCATCCCTCTGCCAATCTCTGCCCTACTTCCAGCTCGCTTTCCTGCGACTCTCCTGAGGTCCAAACACAGAGGAGGGAGAGGAGGAGGAGGCCTTGTCAGGACTCAGCTCCAGCTGGCCGAGAGCGGCAGTCCTGACCCACGGGAAGAACAGAAAGGATCAAGCCTGACCCTAAAGAGGACCCCTGCGAGGATCCAGCCGGGCAGCAGGCACCTCTCAGCCACCTGGTGCCAGTACTGCAGCAATATCCACCCCTCCACTCCCAGGAGGGAGAGGATCCTGCAGGACGCTCTGGGCCGTGTGCCAGTCCTGGGCACTGGGAGGTGTCCTCGGTGGGAATAAGGCAATTCCCTGGAGAGAAAGAGGCAGTCCTTCTGTTACAGGAATTCCAAAGATGTGTGGGTGCAGATGGGGGCACAAAACACTTCGGTGCCTGTTCCATGATGCACGCATGAATTCTCATGGGGCAATGAAAATGGGCACAGGACTGCGGGAGGGACAGCAGGCAGCTTGTCCAGCCATTCTGCAGGACTCGGTCAGCACCTGTAGGACCTCTCCTGGCCCCTCCTGTGTCACCCTGACTCACAGCCCAGTGTCGCTGTTGTATTAATGTCTGCTCCCCCACTTCTAATATCCGAGGTCAGGCTCCATGTATTCTGAATACAAGCTGCTAATTAGCCTGGAACGTTGGGGCAGAGCCTGCTTGTAGCTGACAACAAGATGAATATACCCAAATAGCACGATGATTTGGGACTGGGTTTTCATTTTCCTCCCCTGATAACAGAAGCGGAGGCAGGGGTGGGGCGCGTCATCTCCGGCAGGCCTGATGGATGGCGAGGTGTCAGATATGCCCGCCACAGACGCCTTCCTCATGGCTAGAAGTCTACTGGCAGTCCCACCTCCACCCTGCCTCCCACCCCAGACCGCCTACAGCATTTCCATTGTCCCCAGCAGAATAAGAAAATATCCCCAGACTCAAACTTTGCAGGACAAGTTTCACAAAGCAGGTCTCACTCTTTTCCTGGGGGCCTTTGTGACGTCACATTGTGCATTTTAAGGATGGTTTCAGGCATTTATTCCATCTGACTACTTTCTATTAAAAGTGATCTTTAGTAAGAAAACATAAACAAAGCACCAAGTAGTGAGGAGGTGGTGGGAGGGAGAAATTAAGGCAACAGAATTTGCTAAAGGGGCAAACCAACAGGTATTACTTGGTGGGCAGCTAGAGGGTTGGGTGGAGCGAACAGGACAAGCTCTCTCCCCTGCTTTGAGCCTGTGGGGCTGGATAAGCCCCAGACTCCATGCTCCAGGGCCAGTGAGCCCGTGGGTTCTTTCCTGCCCTTCCCTTCCCTTCCCTGTTCCGCCGGAGATTTCTTACAGGATTGAGCAATGACTTCATTGACACCAAATCCCGCTGTGTCTCTCTCCACAGGGCAGCGTGTCCATCTACACAAGCTCAACGCTCCTTCCGAGCCTACTATGGGATCGCTATGGTTTCAGCTTTGGGTAAAACTATTTGTTTGTAGCTAGGTAATGTGAACAGTGAAAAAACTCAAACAGCACTGGGGCTGGCGCTAAAGAGCGAGCCTCCCTCTCCTGGCTCCCCAGGTCCCCCGCGCTAAGTGGGAGCATAACAGCCCATCTTCCCACCCTCCATGGATGGCAGTAAGCCGCACATATTGTTCTCCGCTCTGCTTTTTAACTTAATGAATCTCAGCATTCCTTCCCCTTCAGAACACGAGGAACAGCCATGAGAAGGCAGCATGGGACCCCATGGCTTCGAATGGGCCCTGGTTGATTTGAGACATGCAGGCCAGCTCCAGTTCCAGCGCCTGTCAACCAGGCCATGCTGAAGGCTCTTGTGTACACAGCCTGATCACTGGTGGGAGCATCTATAGGGTAAAAGCAAACAAAACAAAACAAAACAAAACATAAAAAATCCCACCAGGATCATCTGGTGGGAGGTACCTTGCCAAACATTGCGCAAAAAGATTCTGTCCATTGGCAAGCCCGCCATTGTGCGTGAAAGGCAAGCCATCTGACTTACAGCATAGCTACAGGAGTATTTCTTCATATCCCAGAGACTGGCTGCAGTTTAAGCCTGGGTTGCAGGCAGACAGCTGACCCTGAGCCAACCACCTGAAGCTGGGTGTTGGCAAGCTGAAAGAGGCCATCTCCCCGATCAGGAATCTCAATACTTTTATCTGAAAATGAGGTGAGGACTCCAGAAGTGCTCATTCTTCTAACTTCCAGAGTTGTTCTGTGTCTACAGCCCATGGCGTCCCGGACCTTCCCAGGAGCGCTGGTAGGAGCTGGATGAGAAGCAGAGGAGCTGGGACTCGAACAAGGGTTCTGACATAGAATGCCAGTGTCCCAAGCCACAGCTTCACCAGCCACAGGCTTCACCACAATGCCAGGCCTATGTTCTCCTGATTTTAAAACATGGTTTAGGGCCTGGCGAGGTGGCCTAGCGGCTAAATTTCTCGCCCTGCACCTGCTGGGATCCCATATGGGCACCGGTTCCAATCCTGGCAGCTCCACTTCCCATCCAGCTCCCTGCTTGTGGCCTGGGAAGGCAGGCAAAGATGGCCCAAGGACTTGGGACCCTGCACCTGTGTGGGAGACCTGAAGGAAGTTTCTGGGTTCTGGCTTTGGATCGGCGCAGCATCGGCCATCGCGGTCACTTGGGGACTGAATCGTCGGACGGAAGATCTTCCTCTCTGTCTCTCCTCCTCTCTGTATATCTGACTTTCCAATAAAAATAAAAATAAATCTTTAAAAAGCAAACCAAAACATTATTTAGTCTGATTTCAAAACAAAATAAAAAAATTCTGGGAACCAGCACTGTGGCACAGCAAATTAAGTTGCAGCCTGGGACAGAAGCATCCCATATGGGAAGTGGTTTGTGTCCCAGCTGCTCCACTTCCAGTCCATCTCCCTGGGAGGTGCAACTGGGAGGGCAGTTAAAGAAGGTCCAAGGGCTTGGAACCCTGCACCCACGTCGGAGCAGGATGGGTTTGTGGCTCTGAGCTTCTGCAGCCAAGCCCCTGTGGCCATCTGGAGAGTGAACCAGCACATGCAAGAGCTCTCTGTGTCTCTCTAGCTTCTAGATATTTTTTTCTGAGCCAAAACTTCCCATTGTACGGTTGTAGTCCACAGCTTCGGACTTTGGAAAAGCGCCTTCCTCACTCCCACTGGACCAGGTGCCCCCAGTGAGACTCTCCCGGCCCCCACACGGTGCTGTGTCTGCGCGTTTGCCCGTGCTCTCTGGCTTGGACCACCTCCAGCCTCTCCTCCTGAGCCGCTTCCTAATCCTGGCTGCTTCCCTAGGCATCTCTGCGTCTCTCTTGTCCCTTCGACAGAGTGTCCTCGCAGACAGCAGACAGCAGACCGCCCCCTCCGCTGCGGGCGGAAGCGACCCCACCCCAGCCCAGCACCTCGTACCTCTTCGTTCCCCGCCACCCCCGCCTCAGATTTCCGGAGCAGCCGGCGACGGGTCCCAGCGGGCTGCTGCCGTCAGCACCGGGTCTCGGCGGCCGCGACCCCTCCCCGCTGACCTCACCCGCGGCGCAGTCGCCGGCGCGCGCCAGGGTATAAGAAGCGGCCCCGCCAAGGAGCGCGCAGCCGGCGCTCGGGGTCCTGTGAGCGCTCGCCAACCCTCGGCGCACCGGCTCCACACCGAGAGGCCCGAACCCGGACGGGCCCGCAGGTAAGCACCGCGGACGGCGCTCGCAGGTGGCGGCCGGGAGCCCGGGACCCGGAGCCGCTGCTCCCGCCCTCTGCGTTGGTCCCATCCCCTGACTCCCGGGCCAGCGCTTTCTTGGGGTGTGCTACGCTCGCATCCCTGCATGTCCAGCAGCGCGGCCGGGAACAGAGAGGGACATTTGCCCACCGTGCTCTCGCGTCCTGGACCTGGGAGCGCGGGGCGCCGAGCGCATCTGGGTTCCCTGGCAGGAGTTGGAACAGGGGTTTTCGCGTTGGAATGAGCGGAGAAGTTAGGATTTTTGCGTCGGAAATGAGATTCCTAGCGCAATCGTGAAAGTTTCCATTAGAAATAGAATCTCAGGCACAAGTGGACTTAGGGCTGTGGAGTGTGGATCCTCGCTGATGCTTGGAATGACAAGGTGGCGACAGGGATGGGAATCTAGTGCCCAGCGCTGCGATTTCACTAATTACACCAGGAGCCCATCTACACCTGCTTAAGCTTCCCCAGCACTCCCCTGGCAACACTGAGGTTTGATGGTGGCGATGGGGTCCCCATGGCCTCCTGGAGCGCGCTCACAGAACTGGGTGTCTCCCAGGTATTTACAAAGCCCAGGCAGAACTCGCCTCAGCCTGCACACACCTGCCCCACTCCACCCCAGCACAGGTGGCAGGTGGGCCTGCTGCTGGGAGCTTGGTTGAACGTGCGGTTTGTTCCTTAGCATCTGACCATGGGGACCTGCCACGGAGTGGAACGTGGAGCCGGGGAGGTGGGTTCTAATTCGCTGATGCTCTGCTTTGTCTCTGCCCAATCCCAGAAGCCACGATGCCTGGCCCTTGGTTGCTGCTCGCCCTGGCCTTGACCTTGACCCTGACAGGTGTTCCTAGCGGTGGGGCTCAACCAGAATCAGTCCAGCAAGAGGCTGCAGAGGGCCCTGAGCATCCAGGCCTGGACGAACTCCTACACCAGGCAGAGCGACTCCTCCTCCTCCGGGAAGACCTCCAGAGGCTGCGAGGAGACCAGGGGGAATTCTCAGGTGAGGAACAAGGAGTGGAAGGGGAGATCTGGAGGCAGAGGGGAGGCAGAGATAGAGGCTTGGCTGTCTTGCCTTTCAGAAGCTCTGAAATCCTCTGCAAAGGGCCCTCCCTTAGCGGACAGACCTTCAGCAGGAAGACTGTGATTGGGGCAGGAGTAAGGTTGAAAGAACCTTTCCTAGGCCTCTGTGTGCCAGGCTCTGCTGTTTGACCTCACGCCCTTTGCTTAGTTGGATCCGGGCGACCACCATTTCATGCAGAAACACTGACTTTGACCCTGTGTGTGTCCCTGAGGCCCGTCAGACTGGGGAGTCTGGGGTGGCTGCAGGAACTCAGCCTTGCTTGGGGGAAAGCTGAGTGCTCAGACAGGTGCACCTACTGCAGGGACCGGGGATCCCTCATTGGCCTCTTTCCTTCCACAGAGTCCCAGGTCCCTCAGCTCGACTGGCTTTCCAAGCGTCAGCATCCAGGCAGAAGGGAGGAGGAGGCAGAAGAAAGTGTTGAGGAAGAGGAGGAGGAGGAGGAGGCTACAGGGCTCCACAGAAGGCAGCATCCTGGCCGGCGAGAGGATGAGGCCTCCGGGACCCAGCACAAGAGGCAGCACCCTGGCCGGCGCTCCCCCTGGCTCAAGGATGCTGTATTCAAGAGGCAGCACCCAGGCAGGAGGATGGTGGATCCCCAGGTCCACAGAGCCTGGGAGGAAGAGGAAGCGAAGGAGGAAGGAGCGCTGATGCCTGAGACACGCCAGCATCCGGGCAGGAGGGCCCTTGGAGGTCCCTGTGGTCCCCAGGGAGGCTGCGTTCAGGCAGGCCTTCTGCTGGGGCTCCTGGAGGACCTGAGCCAGGGCCCAGGTACGGAGGTGAAGCGGCAGCACCCTGGACGGCGGGCGGCCTGGGCCCGGCAGCCCCTGCAGGGGTGAGCCCAGTTCCAGGAAGGCCAGATTTGGGGTCTAGATGTCCTGAACCCTGTGTGCTCTCCTCATGAACCCCTCTTTCCTTCCTTCTCAGATCCCGGAGAACACACACGAGCCCCCTGTACATACACACACCCCAGCTACTGGATTGTCCCCTTCCTCCAAGGACATGGGAAAAGCTAGTCTGTAATTTAAAACTTCCCATGGTCCCACCATGCCCTGCAGGCAACGGGCAGGTCCCAGGCCGTCACCAATGCCATCACCTGCTCCCTCTCCTGAGCCCTGGCCAGGGTGGCCCTTCTGCATCCCAAAGTGGGAACAGAAGAGGTTTTTGAACTCAAGCTTTGGTGTCCAAATCCAGCGTCCACTCCCTGCCCATTCTGAGGCCCAGGGGCTTCACCTGTTCTCAGGCAGAGCCCTGGACCACAGGCATGTTCTGCCTAGGGGGAGCATGGGTGAGTGGAGACACCCGAGGGGTGCAGTGCTGTAGTGGCTGCAGAAATGAGTGGTGTAGGAATATTGGAACATGGCCCTGCTAGTTGGTGGCTCATATGGAACCCTCTGGGTGCCTCCCCGGTCTGTGACAATTTTCCCGATAATAAAACATGTATCTCCCGATCGTCTCAGTTTGTGCTTGCACATCGGTCCCTGCGGGCATGGGGCTTCCGTTCGGCATCGAGGGGGAATTAAACAGGGATGGGCTTATTTGGGAAGAGGGGTTGGGGCAGTTGGGCTCGGCTCTCCTGTGCCTTTGGCTCTGTGGCAGAGTTCTGTGCCTTGCGACAGACAGGCTGCAGTCACCAGGCTCACACCAGGAGACTCCGAGGGCCAGTCAGGGAGTCAGCCTGGGCACCGGACAAGAGGGAGTAGCGGGGACTGGAACAAACTGGGGAGGCTATCTGAAGACACTGGAGCCCAAAAGCTTTAAGAAACAGGAGACTCAAACAGTAATATTCCTAACACACACTTAGTGCTTCCAGACACTGCCCTGAATGCCACGTATATCGTCTTTTCATCCTCACGGCAGGTTTTCTGGATGGCACTATTACTGTGTCCATGTTAGCACAACAGAAGACTCCTTCTGGAAGATCTGAACATCCCACAGTCCCTATCGGGGCTACCCACAGATGCCCTCTGATGATGGTCACTGTTAGGGAGACAGGCTATCGATAGGACAGGTATTATGTGCTGGGAGACTTTCTCACTGCCCCTGTGACCGTGCCAGGATGCTGGGCTGTCTGGTCCACCTGTAGCTGACCAGCGGTCAAGTGTGGAGAATTGAAGCTGCTCATCCAAGCACACACCTACAATGTGGGTGAGATCGAGTGGAGTGGAAGAAGCCTGGCCATGAAACAGTTTCCCTTCTGCACCTGTGTGGGATCCTGCCAGAGTGGGCACCGGCTCCCATCCTGGGTGAGTCCTTGGCTCACACGGAGCCTCAGTCTCCTCTCCTAGAATCTGCCCTGTAATCGCAACACCCATTTCAGGGCCCTTCTAGGAAGGTGGATCGACACACGTGCACCTCCGAGCACGGGTCCTGGCTCAAAGTCAACTTGAATAAGTGGTGTTTTGGGAGATTAGTTTCCCAGCAGCAGAAAGGGTTCAGAGTTGAAGCTGAAGAACCACATTTTTCTTGGTTCATTCTGCAATTATTAAAAAAAAAAAAAAGAACAAACCACCAAGTAAAAAGTCACTGGGGTTTTATTGCAGGTCCATGCTAGTAATCGGGACATTATCCTAAAAACAGTGCACCTGCTGCTCCCCAACGATGCCCTCCGTCCCCCTCTTGCACATTAACCTTTTGCCAAACATAGCACTTCTGTTTTTCCAGATGCCCTTGCAGTTGGGGTGGAGTTGCATGACTGTGAGCAGACTGAGGCAGGTAGTCCTGAAAGACAGGCAAGCAGAGGAGGGCAGCTCAGGATCAGAAGTGTTAGTGGATGTGAGGGGACACAGCTGGGGCAGTGACTCTGGACAAAAGCTTTCTGCAGGAGGAAGCATCCGAAGGAATGAAAGGATAAACGGGAGGATTGATGTGGAGGAAAGCCTTCCCAGAGACGCGGTGGGCAGAGGCGTTGTGTTCTGGGAATGGTCCACACTGGGAATCTGAGGTGTTTTGGCTCCCCTCTCCTGTCCTGCACCCTAGCTTCTGCCCTTGAAGGGCTGAGCCCTTGTGCCTGACCCTGCTGCCCTCTTTCCTGGTTCAGCCGAGGAGCTCTGAGTTCCAAGGAGCCTTGTGGGTTGGGGTGCAAACAAAGATACCTCCTGGGACTGGGGGAGCATTCTGTGAGTTGAACTTTGATAAAGTTTTAGTCAAGGATAAAAGACATTTTTCAAATTCCTGAGACCTTATTGTGGGGTCGGACATTGGGAAAAGCACCTTTTCCATTTGCTTCATGGCCTAATGATTTAAATACATGTGCAGTAAATGAATAACCGTGCTAGTCACCGACAGTTTGGAGACAAGGGCATCAAGGGAGAAATAAGTAACTTTTCTTGTGTGGGAGCCTGAGTTCTGGGAATTCTCTCCACGCGTCCCCTCCCCTGCACCCATGCTCACTGGTGAAAGGCTGTATGGATTTTACCCCCTACACCTGTCTCTGACTCACCAACTTCCTTCTAGCCTCTCCATCACCATGGTGGCCTTGGCCAACCTCATCCCTCATCTCTCTTCACTGGTCTTGGCTGCTACTGCTTTTCCCCCAAAGCCAGGCTCCACACAGTAGGCAGAAGAACCTTCTGGAACACAGATCTGACCACAGCACCCGCTCTGTCTGAAGTTCTTCCATATTTTACCCAGGACAAAATCCAAACTTTAGATGAAGCTCCTCAGGAGACTGCTGGTGTGGTTCACAAAGATGAGGACAAGTGTCTGCTGTGGTCTTCTCCAGCAAGTTTTCATTCATGACTCCTGTGCCCTGTTCACAGCTTTGTGATCAGTGTAGGGCCCAGCCGGGGTGGGTTAGAGGTGGCCTAGGAGGAGGTTGAGAAGGGTGGCTGATAAGGCCATACCAGGAGAAGTCAGCTTCCTCCTCAGCTAGCAGTCCAGCAGTGACATGCAAATTCACCAAGGTCAAAGGGAGCCTATGACAAACCCCACCTCTGCACCCCCCTAATAAAAACGACTCCTCATGTCCTCTGGGTGTGACTTTCCTTGTCGGCCGTCTGTACTGGACCAGTGAACCTTTCCTGGGAGCGCTCCCACAAAGCTTGTCTTAAGCTAAGCTCTATTCTGTGTGGATTTCTGGTTCTGAACATGAACTCCAACCTCACAATCAGCACCTTGGACAGCACCAGACACAGCAGGAGCGCTCAGCAAACCGTTGTTGGATGCTTGCATTGGAGACCACTGACCCAAGATGGAGATGGATTAGGGATCATATCATCTGATTCCTGGGGCTGAAAGGGATGGGGCAACTCGGATTTTTAAAAAAGAATTATTAATTGTTTTATTGGAAAGTCAGATATACAAAAAGGAGGAGAGACAGAAAAGTTCTGCTAGTTCATTCCCCAAGTGGCCACAATGGCCAGAGCTGAGCTGACCCAAAGCCAGGAGCCAGGAGCTTTTATCGGGTGCAGGGTCCCAAGGCTTAATGCCATCCTAGACTGCTTTCCCAGGCCACAAGCAGGAAGTTGGATGGGAAGCAGGGCCGCTGGGACACGAACCGGCACCCATACGGAATCCTGGGTGAGTAGGATGAGCACTTTAGCCACTAGACTACCATACCAGGCCTGGAAATGCAGATGTCAGCCTGAAGTTGTAGATTTCTGTGCAGTGGCCACAGAGCTGAAGCTGCTGCTCAAGTGCCTTACTTCTAAAAACCTCAGAGGACACTGGACAGAGACCTCTGCTGTCTGCCAGCATCCCAGGCCACAGGCTCCCTGCACTGTGTCTACCAGGGAGCCACAAAGGGCTGGGCACTTTCTGCCAATCTAATGGGAAAGGAATGTCTGGTCCTGGGAGGTGAGGTGCCTTGCCCAAGGCTTACTGTGGCTATCTAAGTCCCTAAAGCCAGTGCTCTTCCACCCCCCTGTTCTGTCCCACTCTCAAGCTGTCTGGGAAAACTAGAGGGCATTTCTTCAAGAGTGGCCTCTCACCTCCAGCGAAGCTGCCTTCCTGCTTTGCTGCGAGTCATCCTGATGTCAAACTTCCTTTGATACTTTCTTTAATTAACTCTTGCAGCAAACCTTATTAGATACAATCAGAGGACTGGCTTGGAGAGAGACTCAGTTCCTATTTGGGGTCTCGCGGGCAGTCCGGGAACATGTGGGTCTTACTACCTGAAGGATGTCAGCAATTAGAGCCCATTTCGATTGCCGGGGGATGAGCTGACTACCTCGGAGAACATCAATTAGCTCAGGGGCCAGATTGTGCCGAGAGTGACAGGTTACCAAGGGGACTCACGGCCAATGCCAGGATTTAAGTGGCTATCGTCTTCAGGGATCATCTCTCCTGAATTGCAGCCACGTTTTGGCCCTGGTAATTATTGGCAGGCTGATTAGGCCTCATCTTTTATGGAGAGTGAATTTCTAATTGCCAGCTGCTGGGGAGGAGAGCTTCCCAGCATCGGCGCACGGACACCCCCGATCCACGTGCCAGAGCCTGGCACGCATGCATGGCCACCCGCTCTGCCTTGGGTCTGGAGAGACAGCGCAGGCACATGCTTGGCTCTGCCAGGCCTCCTAGGAGAGGGAGTTGGGGTCTTTGAACAGCCCTGGGGGTGGGTGGGGAGCCCATGGCTATTCTTGGAAGATTTAAGATGTTCTTGCCTAGGAAGACAGGGGAGCATCTACCGCAATGGGGGTGAGCAAACAGGGTCAGGTGCCACAGAGCAACATCCAGCCAACAGCATGCTGCTTGCACAAGAGTCAATCAGCTGCTGGCGTCATAGCCAGCTCAGTGTGTGTGAGTCCAGGTCCCTGGTGTTCACACCTGTTTCTCAGGGTGTATTCCTGGTGGTGAGTGATGCAGGGCCATGATGGTAACAGTATGTACAAAGCACATA